GTTTTGCCATGTTAAAATTAGGGTAAAATTATTGCTTTAAATTCTCCTTAAATCCATCTCCTCTAATGTAAAAGAAAGACACACAGATGCACTTGGCTCAGGGGATTCCTGTCCTCTCACCTCGCGGAGCCTTGCTTTCCTTATCTGCTGCATCTACCTTACATGTTTATACATGTGTGTTTATACTTTTCTTCCTTTTCTTCTATCTTTACAGTAACTTGAAGGGGCTTTCCTTTGGTACTTTTTTAAAACCCCATGGCTGGGAATTATTTTTTACAGCATTCCAGATTCAGGGTTTAATATTAATTCAAACTGATGAGCAGCTCTGGAGCATGGTAACAGCTGACGCACCGACGCTTTTGCAAAATGGCCCTAGACCGCGATTGTGGTTCTTCAAATCCAGTTCCACATGTATCACAGTGGAGCAGAAACAGAGATCGCCTGTGAGGCACCTAAAAGAATCACTATCATAAGGAGCCTGCTTTCAGAAAGCTGAATTTCTTTTTTTTTTTTCTTTTGGCCAGTTGTGGCTGCTTCTTTAGTTCTCATTAATTATTACATACAATTTGGGTGGAAAAAAGTAGCAAAAATAACTTTTCCTCTAACAACAGTTGTATGTCCAGTGAACTTTCTAATGGTTTCCCTATATAATGACTGATTTTTATTAAGCCAATTTTAAGCTGGGCACAGGGAGAGAGGAGAGATGGCCAAGATGTCTCAAACATCCCTCCTGACTCTAGCCAGGCGCCCGAGAGTCCTGAGTGTGCCCATCCGCAAATGGCTAAAATCAAAACACAGTGTCCCAGCTTCATGTTTTAGAGTATTTCAGCACTGAGACTTCCTCATATACCAACATGTCATTTTCCAAAAATTAAAGCCAGCCTGGACGAATAAGACTGCCCCAGTCACCGCCTCCAAAGCCTGCGGCAGCAATGGTGTGAGAACAGCAGATTTTGGCAGGTGGGGGGGCTGATGTGGCAGGTGGGAGACTGGCTCAGGTGGGGCTGCCCAGGCCTGAGCGAAAACCCCAGCACAAACTACCCTATAAAGGCAGGGTACCAACGTGCCTCTAAGTACAACTGAGCACTTTCCATGTGTTTTTCAATTAGGCAGGGCTTTGTCAAAGCATGGAGTGACGGTGTATTGTCGGGATGTTCTAGGTTGGGAAAGCAACACCTCCTCTGGCCCTGGAAGTTGGTGGTCCCACTTCCATCCTTTGACCTGGTTAAATACTGAATATTAAACTGGCCACTAGAGAACAGCAGAGGTCCCGTGGGTCTTCTTGCAAATTCTGTTTGGCAACCCACAGCTGGGGGCTGCCGCACTTTGCGCTGATTTAAGGTCAGCATCCTTTTTTGGTTTCTGGCTTCTGTAACAGCCATACGGATTGCTCTGGGGGACCTGGAGGCTCTGTTAGGCTGTGGGGTCTGATTCCACAACCCAGAAAGCAGCAGGTCTGTGCTACCATCGACCTGCTCTCCTGGGCTGGGTAGGCAGAGAGGCCACAGCCCTCAGGACACCCTTTGGTGCTAGGGCCTTTGTTCAACAGGGCAGAATGAAGCAAAGGGCGGAGGTTCTTTGTAATGTCGATCTCTTTCTTTAGGGCTGTAGGTAACTGGTATTTTTAGTTCTACAGGGAATAAATGGGAGCCTCTGAAATGTTAGCTGATGACATACAATATGGGGGAAAAAACAAACATTATTAGGAAAATAACACTGTGCACAGCTGTTCAGCAGAACTGTTAGGAAAAAAAAATGGCTGGGAAAGCAGGGTGCTTTTGGGAAGCCTGCAATAATATTTCTCACTTTATAGCCTCATCTGCTGTAAGCTATCCTGTCTGTAAGTCATTGAAGAAAACCCAAGATTTTCCTTGGAAATGAGCAGTTCTGAGACCCGCAGTCAAGCCTGAGAGTGGAAGGGGTTCTGAGCTGCCTTTGGCCTCTTCCCCAGGCCTGGGTGGGAGGGAGCAGGAAGGCCTGGCCCAAGGCACACGGGCTCCAGGCTCCTTGGAGGGTCTCCTGCTGGCTCTCCCAAGTTGCCCTGGCCAGCAGCCTTGAGGACCCCGTCTGACCACACCAGTGTCTCCGCTGCTCCTGCAATGCAGCCTGTGCCCTCCACTGGGGCCATTTTCCTAGTACTTCTTCCCCACGTTGCATTTCATATCTAGCTTCGAAGAGGCACTTTCTCTTTGGGCAATGTTCCTGCCCCTTTCCCTGGCATGTCTCATGCTTCCCCGTTCTGAACGAAGCCTCGCTGAGGGCTGAGGCAGCGGGGAGCCCCCTATTTACACTGGCTGTGCACGGTGGACGCATTGCTGGCCACTTCCTATACCCCCGGCAGACTCTGGTTCTAACTCGGAGGTCAGCAAACTGCCGCCCACGCCTGGTTTCTAATGGTCTGTGAGCTAAGAATCGTTTTTACATTTTTAAATGGTTGGAAAAAAAATCCAGAGAAGACTATTTCATGACATGTGAAAATTACAAGACATTTAAATGTCAATATCCATGAAGAAAGCTTTATTGGAACCCAGCCACGCCCGTTCACTTAGGTGTTGTCTGACGGCTGCTTTTGTGCTACAACAGCAGAGTTGAGTGGCTGGGACAGGGATGTAGAGCCCAAAGTATTTACTATCTGACCCTTTGCAGAAAAAGTTTGCCGGCTCCTGGTCTAACTAGAGCTTTTCCTGACTCTCTGGTTCCAGTAGTTTCCATTTAGGAATCTACAAAGAGCTGCTCCTTCCGTGTTCTGACCTTGAGGGACCAGAGGAGGACAGAGCCCATGCCACCTGCATGCCCGACCAGGGTCCCCCAGAAGCAACACCGTCTTCCTTCTGTGTGTACTCACAGTTCTTTCTCTTATTGCACCCTATTTTTTTACAGGTCTCTTTTCCTCCATACACCATCAGCTTCTGTAGGTTACAAACCCAGTGGTATTAATCTCTAACCCTAGGGCCCAGCAGAGTGTCTGATACAAAACTGGTAGACAGAAAGTACTCATGGTATGTCCTATTCCTGTTTCTTCCTGTTAAACCACCCTATTTGCCTGGAAGATAGTATGTAATATCAATACCTTATAATGTGCTTTTTCAAATAGGAAATAAATTTTGAAGACACAATTTGCACCCTAGGCTACTGCTCGACATTCAGAGAACAGCACAGTTACACTATTTGATGTCAGAGAACTGATTTCCATTTAATGGAAAGTGTCTATAAAGAGGGAATTAATATTCCTACGTAACATTTAGGATTAAATATCATCTTAATCCTAAAAACCCTATAGAGAAAGTATGATCTCTGTTTTACAAGTAGGGAAACTGAGGCTTAGAGAAGTTAAGCACACAGAACCGGGGTTCTAACACAGGCCTAATCTTCAAGACCTGTTACAATACATGCTTTCCTCTACGGTTCGTTGTCTGAATAGGCATATTTTCTCCAATATGTTTCCTTAGTGGAAACCGTATACCAGAAACTTGGTGGAATCAAACTCTCTTTTCTACTAATGTGACCCTTCTAGGGCATGCATTCTAGCTTTCCTGTGCCAGAGAACCCTTTCTCACAAGACGATCTGTGCTGCTTTATTCAAATATTCAATAACAAAATCTAGGGATGGGTTTAATATTAATAGCAATGTAGTGCTAAGTATAAGGGATAGGAAATAAAAATATCCATGATTTCGATTGATGAGAAAGTCACAGATATTGACACTGTTGTTTGTTAACTATTCATAGATAAAGGAAAGGCTGTATTTCAGTTAGAGCTTAGTGAAAAAGATATATATTTTTTCCCATCCAAACTCATGAGCCTCCTGAGTTCTGTCTATGCACTTCAGGTTAAGAACCCCTGTTCTAGAGTAATTTGGAAATCAGTCCATTGACAGGATGAAGTTTTTAAAAGGTCTAATTAGGTCTCCTGAAAACAGATCTAAGGAAAACAAAATTAGAGGTACAAATTCTACATTCACCTATGAATTAAAATCATATTTCTTTAATCCTCTGCAAGTTGGTCTTGCATAATACAGACTGATACTTGGCTTTCACGGGTAGATGTGGTCCATTAAGTCAGTGTAGCAGATATTCTACACTCACTGGGAATAATAAATCTTGTACACTGAGATAAACAGATCACAGCAAAGGCTGTAAGTTTTTTCCCTATGTACGCTTGGGCTGGTGAGTTAACATATTGTTAATCGCTGAAGTGCTAAGTTTTAGTTGTTAAAGGAAGTAAGTTGTAGGACTTACAGAGCCATAGACTTGAAGTAGAAAGATCTTGGAAGTTAGTGCAACCCCTGAATTTTAAAGATAAGGACATTAGAGCTTAATTAAAAAGGAGAAGTGATTTGCCAACACTGCGTGGGACTAATGTAATTGTGAATACGTTACAAAATGATGAGATTTGGACAAATCCTGATAGTATAAAGAAGTTTGTGTTCCTCTCTCAATACTTATTTAAATTCTGATTTCTCCATAGTAATTTAATGAATTGTTAATCAGTCCAGTATATTTTGAGTTTATTTTGAATACTGAAGTGGCTATTTTGTTTAAAATAAATGTCAGAGCTCAGAAACTGACCTTCCTAATGTGATTTAACAAAGCAAGATCTTCCTGTCAAACTCTTAAAATGAAAATTTTTTTGTAACTTAGCTAATAGTTCAAAAATCAAATAATACCAGTGAAATTATTTTTCCCCATGCAAAGGCCCAGAGTTTACAAGAGCCAAACTTCTTCCTCTTTATTTGCAATAACAAAAATAAACCAAAGTCCTGACATATTTGTAGTATTTTTATTCCTAAAGGAAAAAACAGGAACTTTCATTGTACTTTAAAATTAAAGTTATTACCTCAGATATTTTGCCAGCTTAGCACTGTGAAATCAGTTTCAGACAAAAGAGACCAACCGCTCTCTCTAGGAAATACTTAATTAGGGTGGTGCCTAGGAAATGCCCAGGGGTGCTGTAACTGATCAGTTTTTCCCAGAGGGTTTCTGCAATATACAGTCCTGGCTGGACAGCAGGCATTCTGCGCTGATTTTTCCTGTTGCCTGGCTAGTGACCCCCTACAGGAAGATAACGGGTTAGCCAGGAGGGCGGAGCAGCTGGCTGCACATGTCTGGCTGCTCTTATCAACTTATCATATAAGGAAAGGAAAGTGATTGATTCGGATACTGACACTGTAGAGTCTGGGAGGTGAGAGAGACAAAGGAGCACGAAGGCTGCTCTGTAAAGCCAATGCAGCCCTCCCGAGTGAGCAGGACAGTTCTTCCCACTGCAATCTGACAGTTCACTGCATGCCGGGAGGAAAGGCAGCATTGAAAACCAAGTTTGCCACTGGGAAGGGAGGAAAAAGAAGACTTTCGTCGATGGACCCAGCCATGGCAGCTTAGCCCTGCCTTTCAGACGGCAGCTCAGGACTCTGGACTCCAATGTGCCTTGAGGTTTGCTAAGCTGGTGGTTTATTACCCGAAGAAAGAAAGAATGTGGCAGATTGTTTTCTTTACTTTGAGCTGTGATCTTGTCTTGGCTGCAGCCTACAGTAACTTTCGGAAGAGCATGGACAGCATCGGGAAGAGGCAGTACCAGGTCCAGCACGGCTCCTGCAGCTACACGTTCCTCTTGCCGGAGATGGACAACTGCCGCTCTTCCTCCAGCTCCTATGTGTCCAATGCCGTGCAGAGGGACGCGCCCCTGGATTACGATGACTCCGTGCAGAGGCTGCAAGTGCTGGAGAACATCATGGAAAACAACACGCAGTGGCTGATGAAGGTAGGAAAAAATCAGTCTGATTCTGGGCACAACTGATGCTACTTAGATCAGCTCGCAGCTTGGGTTTTAACAACCAAAAAAAAAAAAAAAAGGGTAAAAAGGACTGGAGCTGGAGCGCTGGTTGCTGTACCCTGGAATGAATGATCATTTCTGTTATTTTATCCCAGGGTGAAAAGTGAAAAGGATTATTTGAAAAGAATGCCAGAATCAGTATAGAAAAATCTCTAAAGTTAGGAATCTTTACTAACAAAGTAGAGGAAACGCACTGCTCTGCGGAACCGTGTGCTGTTCTGTTTGTTTATGTCTTTAAGCTCAGCAGCATCCATTCCCAGGGGCGTCCTAAGCTGGCCACAGGCGAGTGAGGGAGGCTGTGAACAGCCTGGGAGCTGGGAGGAACGTGACAACCATGTTAGGACCCGTACACAGCGGATGGAGCGAAGTGCTTTACCAATTTCCTGAATTTATTTACTGAAATAGATTGTGACTCTTGGTAAATGAGAGGAAATTAAATAAAGCAGACCTCATGTTTCTCAGACTCTCAGGGCTCTACCCCGGAGGGCTTGCCATCTGGAGACGAGGGCACGTTTCCCGAGTCCCCGCAGGGACGCAGCACCGTGGCCCCAGTGCTCCGTTCCAACAGCTGGCTCTGAACGCGTCCCCACGTGGGACGGTTATGCTCAAGTTATGCCACGGCAGGACGGTCTGACAGTTTGTTCTCCCGGCTAAGATGATTCCACTGTTTCATAGACTTTTTATAGAGAGTGTGACCAAAATAGGATATTGAAAACTGTTTTTCTTTCACTAGTGATCATTTTCACATGTAAACATGGGAGCTAGTCATACAAAACCCCAAATGACCCTGGAATTTTCTTTATATGGACCATATACATATATTCTAAAGGATGTTTAAACAAGATGCGTAAATAGATTGATCGGTAAATATTACCGATTCATTCACAATGCTTACATGGCAGAGAACGTGATTATTTAAAGCCACATAAAACATTTTAAAAGTTAGTGAGCCTCATTTAACACTTCCCCTGCCCCAAAAGTATAATTATTTTCTCAACCTTTCATTTCCCCATAAGCTTTTTGTTAGAACACCTTATCTTAATCTCAGAATAGCGCTTGGACCCTAATCTGTGTTTCTCATTAACTTCCCTACCTTCAGAGAGGAAGCGACTGAACTATTACTTGAGCCGTGCGCCTAAATGAATGAATGCTCCCAGCACCACCGTTCATTGTGACAAGGGGTGGGGGACCGCTTCAAATCAAAGAACAGAAAACAATAAAAACTTGCCAAAAAGACCTGTCAAATACAGATAATGTAATATGAGTCATTAGCAATGTCTTTATAAGCTCCTGGCTAAATTTCTAGTACATGTCTCTCCTTTCCCGGGTCACTGTAGTGTGCTTTTGAAAATCCTCCGATAATTCATAGATGTGCAAATAATAATGCTAAGCTTCAAAAGTATGCGGCAACACAGGTTCGGATATGTGGAAGGCAAACTGTATCCCAAACATCTGCTTAACTCAAACTTCCTATTTCTTTGTAAATTGTCATGTTCGGGTTTAACAGCCTCCCCGTATCTACCCCTGGCATGGGTAACAGCTAACAGAGCCGCAGTGAGGGATGAAAATCACAGCGTAGTAAACATTCTAATCTGCCCCACCGGCAAGTCATCTCCTAAAATAAACACTCACGACACATAAAAGAATGTTTTGCCAAATGAAAGACTGCTAAATTGCATTTGCTTAATTAAGCCCACACTGGATATACCTGAAACCCCATAAGCAAAGCTCACATTTCTTTCTTAAACTACCCCCTTCTCTTGGGTCTTTGAGACATCATTTAAAGATGGAGAAGGACAAGGAATTCTACATGAGGTGACCAAAATGTCTTCCTTCCAGGTTCAATTAGTAAATATTTGAACAGTAGTAGAACAACGGTATTTTCAAGAGTCCTTCTTTAGCTAAATTCTGTTTTGCCAAGAGTGACTTAATGTTTATCTTTTCACGGGCTCAGCACCTGTTCTTCCTGGCCTATCTCAGGGACGTGCACCTGAGAAAGGCAATTGGTGCTCTCACTCCCTCGGTGTACGGGCTTCTGGCTTGGGAATGAAAGCAAAAAAGCAAATATGAAACCCACTTAAAGTGACTAGATGTAACCTCTCTGCTTGTTTTCTCTTCTGTGTTTTGTCACCTGTGATAATAAACACTGCTTTTCTAGTAAATGAAGAAAATAATAGATAATGGAATGGTAGATAAGCCACATAATAAAGGATTAGCGTCACAACTTAACACCTATTGATGGGTTAGCACAGAAAGAAGCAGCACAATTCTATGTTTTTCATTGTTTTACATATTTTCTTTTGGGCTGTTTTTTCCCCCCATACTTCCTTTCTCTCCCTGATCAAATAAAAATGAAAGACAAAAAAAAAAAAAAAAAAACCAACCAAAACACCCCACCAGAAAAACTATTTAAGCTTTAAAGAAATTTAAAAACTTGTCAGAAAGGAAAATAAGACCAAGCTTCTGGTTAATTTTAGGGCAAATGAGTAGTAGTTCAACTTCTGAGTGGTTAGCATAGCCTAAGGAGCTTAGTCTAAGAAAGCTGTTTTGCACATCATCAAAAGATCCCACTCTGCCAACTTAATCTGCCAGGCAAAGGAAGTGTCAGACTTCTGAATGAATGCAGAGGAATATGAATGGAACAGGACTGGGGAAGGCTCACTTGCTGTGTAGAGGCTAAACAAGGATAAGATAAATTCATAATAGTTAGTACACCAAACACACCACGATGATCTGAGAGGCTACTATATGTCACGTTTCTCTTGCTAATCCTGCAACTGTTCTAAACATCTGTCCTGGGGGATATTAAACAAATACACTTTATAAAAACTCACAAATAACAAAGAAAAGTGGATTGTATTTTGCTAGAAGACCAAATGGATTTTTTTTTTGATGAGAGGAAATATGGAAAGGAAGTAAACAACTATTTCACAATGTTGGATGCCTGATATTTATAAGCAACTGCAAACCCTATAGACACTTTAAAACAGAATGATTTGAAAAATAAAGCTAATGCCTATTAAACTGATGCAAACATTTCCTTTGCCATCTTATCTTTTTTTAAAATGACACAAGTACAGGCTGGAAACTGTAAACTTGAATTGCAATCCTTTCTTTAAAAGTGTTAACAATACATCCCTTTAATAAAGTATGAGAGCTACCACTCATTGATTTATGTGTAGGAAACAATGTAGTTATGCTTGTAGAAACATAATTCCGGTCAGTGGGAAAAACTGATCACAAGTGGCTCAAAGACAGCTCAGCTCACCAGCCCCACCCCGCCCTAGCCAGGGACTATGCGTATGTGTGTGTGTGTGTGTGTGTGTGTGTGTGTGTGTTTAATCACATGTGGCTGTAAAATGCTCCTTGGCTGTATATCAAAAAACCAAACAAAAACAAAAAAACAACCCCCCCCCCCCCGCAAGCCCCAGAGATTGATTCATTAAAGGAAAGAAAAAATCCCATCATATTCCTAGCCACTGGTCTCCTGTAGTACTGAGAGAAGAACCACTGCTGTACTCCAGTGATTGTATGTTGCATCATGAAATATGACTGCGTTTAATATTAGAAGGAAATTTTGTATATTCAGATACACTGATCAACCTCTTTGAGAATGCAGGAAAATAACTGCTATTATATTAATTACCTATTAATATTGTTATAGTAAGGGATGAAGAAACAAAGTTTCACTATGGTAGGGGAGGTACAAAATATTCCTTTGAAAAGTGCAAGTAGTGTATACTTTATAATGAAATACGTAGTACAATATATGCTTACTATACACAGTATATAAATGTAATAAATGTTTACTCTATAGATACATATTACATATAATATGTTTATTTTCAGGCAGTCTCTGCATATTAAATGGGGTTGTCTGACATACTGGATTAACTATTTAGGTATCGCACTACGGGGAGAAGATTATTTGCTTGCAGAGTCAAGAGCTAGGAAATGGACATCCATAATATCTTCCTTAGGAGACGCTAGATAATCCACATGGCCTCAGTACTGAAATGCGAACATCTGTTGATTTTAATCAATATGGCTCTTGACAGTTGACAAACAGATTGCAATCCAAAAGTTTATCTGTAAGCCAGTTACTGTATTGGAACTTGAAGAGGATAATTATCTTATAAATGGTGTTCAGATGCTTGGGCTGTGCCTGCCTGTGATGCTTATTTTAATCCATAAAATAACTGAAATTTTATATATTTGTACCTGAAAACTGTTCAATTCAACCCTACCACCATGTGGATAACTTAAAAAAAATCATGAAAGTAAGCTATGGGCAAGGTAAAAAAAAAAAAAAAAGTCAAATTAGTAAAATGGTAGAAAATAGGAAATAGATTCTCCTCCCAATCTTCAGTCCTTTTCTCTAAGATCAGCCCCTATAGATTCATACTAGCCCTTTATTGAGACAAATTTAGTATCGAAACATACAGCTTTCCTTCTTAAAACATGTGCAGTGGTGGTGTAACACGATCAGAATCTTTCTTGGATCACAAATGACAAATTGGAGAGAACATTTTATTTAGGGAAAAAGAGCAATATTTGAAAGATTGAGGTAGCAGAATATATGGACGTGTGTGTCTGACCTGGAGACACTGGGACCCCACCTGGGATGGCATCAGTCGAGGTGAGGGAAAGGGGCTGTGCAGGGCGTGATTCTACTAACAGGGATGAAGGGAAGTTGTTTACATCCCTCCATATCTGGCCACACAATGACAACAGGGCCTGGGCAGCTTTGTGGATTTTTTGCGTTGAGATCGAGAGGGTACATACAATGAATCATGAACATGTACAGAATGTTTTCAAATCAGGTGCTCAAAATTTGCAGGATATTTTTATTAATGACAATGACAACTCAGCAGGCAAACTATTCTTTCTCTGTCTATGTATAAAAGTGGTATTTGTTCTATGCAATG